TGACCTTGGTGTTATAACACCATGCTCTAACCAGCTGAGCTAACCAGCCAGCCCCAAAACAATCTTTTCAAAAAGAAAGTTTTTAATAAAAAGACTTTCAAACTTTTTTCACTTGTAACCTATCATAAGAAATTTGTCTTACATCACCACCCGGTTTGCAAACTCTTACCACATTTACAACGGAAGCCAAGAGTTTTATGCAATGGTATTTATCTTTTCTATAGGCAATGCACACTTACTTTTTCGCTTCTTTTTCATTTCTAAAATGGAGGTTTCACCCTGACAAATTGACTTCATAAACTTCCAGTGGGGCTTACCTTGTAGTTTGAAAAGGGAATTGAGAAATAATGCCTCTCCTTCAATACAATTGAGCAAGTGATTTTGAAGAATGTTCTGTCCATGTGATACTATCTGGAGGTGAAATAAACAAGACACCCACGTGGATAGAGTTGCTGACTTCATGCAGCTTACCATCTAGTGGGATTAATGTGATATTTTGATCTTATGAGAAAAGATCAAAGGAGCAAGCAACATAAAATGTGTTTATGAAGAACTTGGTAAACATCTGGCACATGAAAGAGAAAAGCTGGATGTTCTGCTGTAAATTCTTACGGAAATATTACTTTCTTGATAGTGGAGGTCACTATGAACGCAAATTTGTGACTATATAAATCCTTATTTATTTACTAAATATTTGACAACTTTGGCAAAATGGAACAAAACAAAACAAAAACAGTAACAGAGATCCCAAGCTTTTAAGCCAAACTGCCTAGTTTTTCCCTTTTCTTCCCCACTCCCTCCCATCTTTCCCCCCCTTATCACAGAATTGTCTGGCTTGAACTATTTCATTTCTTTTTTGTTGTGGTAAAATACAAACACTATTCTGGCCATTTTAGAGTATAAAACTCAGTGGCGTTTAGTACATTCTCAATGTTGTACAACCATCACCACTATCTAGTTTCAGAACTTATCACCCCAAAAGGAAACCTTGTGCCTGTGAAGCAGTCACTCTCCACATTTGCCTCCTCACCCAGACCCTGTCAACCTCCCATCTGCTCTCTACATCCATAAATTTGCCTGTTCTGGATATTTCATATAAACAAAATCACACAACATGTGGCTTTTTTGCATTTGGCTCTTTTCACTTAGCATGTTTTTAAGGTTCATTCATAGGTAGCATGTATCAGTATTTTATTCCTTTTTACGACTGAATAATATTCCATTTTATGGACATACCAAATTTTGTTTATCCATTGATCATTGGAGGGAGAACTATTTAATTTTAAGGTAAATTTTATTCACAAAATAATCTGAAACTAATGGTTGGGCATACCTTTACAGCTTTGATTACATACATATATTATAAGTAGAGCCTAAAGGCTTTTGAAGAAATATGGTGTCTCCGTGAAAGCCTGAGTAGGAAAGGTACTATCCTTCAGAAGCTCATGAGGTAGCACTGGGCCTCACTTATAGATTCAGGATTTATCTGCATACATATGGTAAATGAAACCAAGTGAACAGATAAGATTGCTCCAGGGCGTGAGTGTAGAAGAACCTAGGACAAAGCCCTAAAGGACCCCAACATTTGGGGGAACAGCAGAGGAAGAGAGGACCATCGGTTTTCTCACCACAGATGATGATGATGATGATGATGATGATGATGATGATGATGAAACCTAACTGAGGCAAACCCTCAGGCTCATTACTTGAGAAGAAAACATAGCCAATGTTTTCACAATGTTTGTAAGGGAATTAAATGAGACAACATATGCAAAGCAACGAGTACCTGGCCCATAGGTAGGACCTCAGAAATGGTGGCTAGTAGAGTTACAATGACGAAACTTCTTCCTACTCTGAATGCATTTTTTGTGCTATCACTATCATCAGTTTCCATATATGCGGAGCCTTATATAATTATTTTATAACATCATATCCAGGACTGCCTAGATTTAAATAAGCACTTCAACCTCTTAAGAATCCGTCTAGTTTTAACTCTTTTGTGGTTTTTTGTTGTTGTTGTTGTTTCTAAATTTCACTAGCTTTTCTTGTAACGCCAAGGGAAACTGAAGGAATACAAATTAGGTGAAGCTAGAGACACAGGCCAACTCTCAGTGTGGCTGATCCAAGACTGCAGTTCTGGGTCCACCCAGGAAGGTGTTCTCAGTTCCACAGCTTGAGAGAGGACCGTTCTAGCTACAGATTATCAGGTCAATAAAATTCTTCCCCTTTAGATTTCTTTGTTTTCATGTTGGCAAGGGAAAAGCCACTTCATTTCTCAAAAACACGTAATTTTTGCCGTCCCATATTTGGTAAAAAATAGTTGGTGAAAACTCATAACCGACCCCAGAAACAATTATACTGTAGAAATTGACTTTAAAATCTTCATGGCATTACGGACTCAGGAGTGGAAAATCATTGGATATAGTGTTTTTAAGCTTATCAAATTATCAAACAGTGTCTTAAAGCTGTTATTCCTACAGGATCCTTGACTATCATTGCTTGTTTGAAGAGTTTCTTTGAATATATTTTGATAAACCTTCGAAAGACATGACCACACCTTGACCATTCACTTTTAATGCAGTTGTTGTGATTGCTTCTTCTTGGATCTTCTCAAAGATCTGTTAAGATATGAATAACTTTTACATATTATAACTTTGCTTTACTCTTTCAAAGTTTTCTTCTGAGTTTTCTAAATTTCTCAAGTCCTTCCACTTCTCACGGGGGAAAATGTTTTCAATGCTTTTTCTTATTCAACAATTTGATTCGTTTATTTTTCTGGAATTTTACGTCTTTAGTATATTCCTATCTACATTCCATGTGTAAATGTATTCCATGTATTGGAAACATGATTTCCAGTGAAACTAAAGTGACAGATGGGCACAAAATTTGGGGAAGGTGTGTAAATTCTTTTATCTTTTATTATGGGCTGATTTGTTACAGACTAAAAGATTGACAGGCAAGAAGGATGTAACTTGTATAAAGCTACACAATTAGAAGTGATGCTGGGAATAGACTTCATGTTTCCTGATTCCTGATGCAATAAACTTTCACTGGAATATGGACAACTCATGATGTTCATGACCTAGTTCATATTGGCTATTGTCCAAATCTGGTAGCCAGAAACAGGACAGGGTCTGTTCTGTTTCTAGTTTAATACAGGAATTACTGTAATTCTTGTGTATTTTTGTGATCTATGTGTTAGGGCATGGTTTCTCTTATCTCATATGTCGAGTTACAGAAAATAAAGCACTTGAAAACATAAGATAATAATAGCAATGGTTATCTAGTCCTATAAAATCCAATAGTGATTAGTGAATATAGCATTCATTGTGAGCTCAAAGCTAAATTAGAAGAATAGAGAAGCCAGTTAAGAGGCTTGAAACCCAAGGAAAATGGTAGGAAGAAAATTATGGCAATACAACTATGATATTTTGTCCCTATGTGGGAATAAGGCAATAGAGGTGAAGAAGAAGAAAATTTTTAACAAACAAAATTAAAAATGAAAGGAGGAAGGTGTTTCTAAATATTATGGGTGGGTGGTTTTAAATGTCAATATGCTCTGCTGTAAACGGATCACGTGGAGAGTAGTGGAGAATAGCTTTATGTGGGAGGAGATTATTTTAAAAAAACAAACATTGACATTTTGAAGACCTGAATGTCTTAAATGGAATGATTATTAAAATGCAAAGTTAGGCTGCACAGAGACGTTTTAGAGATTATATTTGAGTAGAATCATAAGAGTCAGATAATAAATGACTCAGATAATCTGAGTGGTTGGGGCTGACTCACATATTTTGGAAGAAGGTGTCATCAAATCACTGATTCTGTCAGTGTTTTTTCCCTCTGTTCCACCTGGCAGTGCCAAACAAATCCTGAAATACCAGTGGCTTTTCCAGCTCCAGTTTCCAAGAAGATTTTCCAAATCACCAGTGACAAGTCTAGGGTTTTGAATACATAGGTATTTAGTATACTTGAATAATGTTGGCTAACATAAGAAACATAAGCCCTGTGTGTAACTATGGAACATGTGGAAGATGGGAAGACCAAACAGAGGCTTGACAGGATGAGAATGGAAGAACCAAGACTGGGCTTGTTTTGTCCAGATGGAAGAAAGGGGTCTTCTTATCCCAGTGCTGCCTGAATGGTGCTTCCTGGAATATATTTTAAGTCAACAGGTTATTATCTGGTACATGTACTAGACATAGGGAACATACAAATGAAGGAGTGTTGGCCTCTGTCCTGGAAAGGCTCTTAGCCTATGAGGGAAACTGACACAGAAAGGAGTAAGGGGTACTGTTTGGCATATTATAACACATATAAGAGCAACATTTTGGGGGAGCAAAGAATAGTCAGTGTCCTGCGCCAGTAGGATTGAGAGGCCCTCACAGGGGAGGTGGCCTTTGGCCTGGGCCTTAAGGACAAATTGAAATTCTAAATGTTGACAAAATAGGGAAAACATTTCAAGCAGAGGTAAGGACCCCACAAGGAAGAAAGAGATATTGGAATGCAAATGTCAGGGTATGTTCAGAGAATGGTTAATAATCTAGTCCGGGAGACAAAGATGTGTCATGACGGCCAGTGTAGCTGTCTTGATATGGTTCATATAATCTGTGTCTTGGTATTATCCCAGTCTCAGGAATTTGTCCAACCTGGAAATGGATATTCTTCTAAATCTGTGATATTGCTTCTTGGCAGAGCCACAGTTTGGGTGATGAATAATAGCAGTCTAAGAAAAGCTTTCAATCTTCTCCGTACCCGTACAGCCTTATGTTGCTTGTAGTGCTAAGAACTTACAGTACCAAGCCCCTGATAAACATCTGTTGAAAATGTAACAATGAATCATATCCACATGCATACACATATAAATATATATACAACTGAAGGGACTTTCACTGCTTTTTTGAACATTCAAGTTCAACTGGTGTGTTGCAGCTTTCAAAATATATGTTCACTTGAATGTTGCTGATAGATTTCTTTAACCCTCGGCTGTTTTTCCACAGGATTGAAAAAACGTACAAGGAAGGCCTTTGGAATACGGAAGAAAGAAAAGGACACTGACTCTACGTATGTACTTTAAGAGTTTGCCTCCCCCCAAAATCTACTTGCGTAAGGGATGCCGTTATCACCGTCCCTTTAAGATTGCTGCAGAGATTTCTTGGATATTGTGTACTATTCTGTAGCTCTCCCCATTTCTGGGTAAACTGTAGTTGTTTGTCATAAACAGCTCTTGGGTTTGTGCTAAAAAGGTGAAGATTTTTCATCATGTATTCAGTTTTTCATCATGTGTTATTTTTTTTACAACCTGATATCCACACTTTCCAGCATCCTTGGGAAGCAGAAAATATGACTGTTGCTTTTGGGGGGGACTAAAAGCATTCATGACCGCTTTCAGGGTTGCTCCTAGTGTCTGAAATGAAGAAACAACAAAACATCTGTTTAGGTAGATTAGGCCTAGCCAGAAACAAACATAGACTATAAAACGTCCCAAAGCTCTTACCTGAGATGCCGAGACTTTATGCCAGCACAATTGTCAATCAACAGAATTCACAGAATTCACAGGAGTGATAGGATTCTGGCTGTGAATGAGAAGTCAATGCCAGAAACAACTGTGAGGATGCTTTTACATGTTTAAATGATTATATCCTAGAGAATCAATTTCCCACAGATACTGACAGACCCTTGAAAATGTCCAAGGACATAACAGTTTTACTCCATTTATTTGACCTTCTTGAATTCTCCTTCAGAAGTATTTGTCTCAATGTAAAATCTCAGGTGTCTTTCTGAGCTAAGCAAGCAACTGAAATACAAGAAGTTAGCTGGCCAGGAGCTTGGGATTCCAGCCCAAGACCAGCAAAGGAGAGCACCACTACTCAGCTGCAGCTGGTTGTGACTGGGGAGAAATGCACATCGGGCGTGGGCTGCTGTATATCAGAATTGAGCCCATTAAACCTTTCATTTGGTTAGATCCCTGAAAGTAAGTTAAAAAATAGGAAAATCAGTAGTTGTTTGGACACAGGTAAAAATGAAGAGGGCCACTTTTATTCTCACCTTTAGCTTTTCACTCTGTACATTTTATCACAAGGTGCTGAGCATTTCCCTGTGTTATTGTCTTCCAACCTATAATCCATGGGATAAAATATCTACCAAATAAATTAAAATATCTTTCATACAACTGAATAACACAATGTATTTGAAATGCCTACTATGGTACCTAGTCCTTAGTAAATGGCAACTGCTACTGTTCTTATTATTGCTGATACAAATTCCTTATGAGCAATTAAAATGGAATTTTATGGGAATTTTAGCATGAGAATGTTCATATTTGGACTGATGATCAGTGGTACTGCAGGGAGGGAGGAGCTTTAAATTTGGCCTTCAAGAAGATGAGGATATGTATTTTATGCTAAAGGAATAACAAACGCAAAAGCAGAGAAGTGGAAAAGTCCAGTAGGCATTTAGGACAAGACAAATGGGGCAGTTTGTCCACCTGGAGGCTAAAGGTAAGGGTGATTAATAATGGGAGGCAAGGCTGGAAAGATCAGGGCCAGGTAGCAAGGGCCCCAGGGCCTGACCCATGTGTCTGGGCTTCCTTCCTCAGGCAATGGGCCACCTTGAAACCTTAAAGGTTTTTAAGCCAGAGAGTGTAAAGGATTGGGGGAACAAAGTTATTTTTTGTCTAGATAACAAATGTTAAGTCTCCTGTTCCTATATTTCCTTCTTTTTATTTTGGTAAATAATTCATGGAAATCACATTTACTATAGTCCTGCAAATTTTTCTAAATAACTGAGTTAGGAATATTTTTCTGATGATTATATAATTTACATTGTCTCTTAAGAAATTTGCCATTTTCTGAACATTAGCCTCCCAGTATGGGTGATGGTCCCTTTTGTAGTGTCAGAAGATCTGGGCTCTAGTCCTGGCACTGCCAATAGCTCCACAGCCTTGGGAAATACACTTTCTTTTGGTGGGCCTCAGTTTCCTCACCTATAAAAAAAGGTTTGCACTAGATGGAATCTAGTTTCCCTACAGGGTCAGACACTGTAGCAGTCAATCTGTTGGCAACGTCTGTTGACAATGTGCCACGAGTCATGTGGAACACTATTACGTGCATCTCAAGAGAACATCATCAGCAGAAACCAGATCCGTTTTTCTATGAAGACAGTGCCTGTAAGTGACCGCACCAGATATTTCTGGCGTGTGAAAAAACTTTTTTTTAAAAAAAAGCTGCTAGGCTTATTTACGTGTGATTTGCATGTGGTCAAAGCACAGCTCTTCCATCACCATTTCTAAAGATATGAAAATAAGCAAGTTTTTCCTTGTGGCTTTGGGTAGATGCCCAGTTTCTCTGAGATACTCTAATGACACATTTGCTTGTAGAATCCCAGCATCTCTCCTTTTCTTATCATTCAAGTGCCCCAAATTACTTGCCTTATAGCAAATTAGCTGCACACTGGTTCTACCACCAGCGACGATCAAAGGACAAACTGTCTTGTATAAGCCTTTGTTTTCCATGAACCCCCACTCTAGCTGGATCATATATCATTCCAGGAAAAGGAATCATAAATGTGAAGGGGTGGAGATATGCTCTGGCAATTTGCTGTCCCTTCAGCTTCGGTGAATTCGTACGTTGGTCTGTGATCATTGAAACCTTGTTGGTACAAACTGTGTTCAGGGCTGTTGCAACTTGCTCAGGGTTGCTAAGCAACCTGCTAGGGTAGAGGCCAGCACCAACTTCAGCTGATTGAACCTCCTTAGATAGACAGATAGAGAATGGGGTTAGGACCAGAGCTTCCTGATTTGATCTCATTACAGTGGCTGAAAGAGAGAGGAAGGGAGTGAGCCTGCACTAAGTAGCAGGCCCTGCGCAGGATATTTTGTTGCACTGATATCCTTTGTAATCCTCAAAGTAATTCAATCAAGTTATAGTAATATCTCAGTGTTAGAGATGAGAAATCAGTGCCAAAGGGGATTAAGTAACTTGCTAAAGGTTACCCAGAAAATAAGACTTGGAGTCAGTATTCTAGTCTAGACTCTAGTGCCTATGCTTTTATTACCCAGAAGAAAAAGCATCAGGCAAAATCATAATCTAGACAAACAGAACAGTAAAAGAGAAAGGCAGTCGCTGTGAAAGTAGTTTCCAAATAGAGGCCATGGTCCATGGTACATAATTAGTTTTAAAATAGAAGTCGAATATATTGTCCTGATTTGAGCATCACATATTACACACAGGTATTGATATTCAACTCTGTGCCCCACAGATATGAATAATTAACTATGTTACAATAAAAAAGAAAATAAATAAAGTAGAAGTGAGTAAATATAAGGGTCTGCTATTAAAAAAAATTATTTCAAAATAAAATATAAAACTTCATAAGGGAGTTAGGAAATAAATTTAGAATACATGTCCAAATGTCTGTGGCTGCTAAAATCTCTCCATTCCCTCTCCTAGGTCAAATTATATAATAATTATCATTCTCTATAACATTTCATGAGTAATCACTATGTTCTAGGCACTGTTTCAGGCTCTCGCTTATATTAACTCATCGAATCTTCTAGTAACCATATGGGGTATATGCTATTATTATGGATATTTTATAGATGAGGAAACTGAGATAAAAAGGGGTGAAGTAACTTGCCTTAGTTTATGCAGCTAAGAAATCCTACATTGATTGAAGCCAGGTAGTTGGGCACTGGAGCTAGTGTTCTTAACTACCATGTTTACTGCCTCCTTACGAGGAAGCACCAGCCCCATCTCCATCAAGGGATAAGATAAAGGATTGGATAGGACTCCAACGCTGCTATGTGTAATTACAGATTTTCTGATAAAAATTTGTGAGATACCATTCCAATAGCTGCAATAGACATGAATCAAGTGGCCCCCCATTTCAGTCCCCTGTTGATAACCCCTTGTACCTAGACTATCTGTGGGCAGCACCACAGCCAGGCTGTTCTCCAGAGCCTTCTTTTCCCCCCACCTATTGCTTGCTGTGCCCAAAAGCATCCCCACAAGGATCAGTGCCTTTGAATATATTCTACCCCAAAGCTCAATACAATCACCTCTCTCCCAACTCTTATTGCAGGGATTGAAATCCTAATAAGAAATGCTCATTTTTTGTAGTATATAGATAGGAAAAGGAAAGTTGGTTTTGATGAGTATGGGTTGGTACCAGTCGTCGCTGCTTTCCTTCTAGCCTGAGCTTATTATGGCCATGATAACCCACTAGATTTACTTGCCTGTCTCAGTGCCTCTGTGATAAGCCGCCTTCCTCATTATATTTATCCCCTGGTTCTGACCAAGTTCCTGGCTTGTTATGAGCACTCAATATTTGCTCAATAAATTATAACTTTTATCAGCTGAGATTCTTCCCATCTTTCTATTTGAGAAGAAATTTCTTTGAACTGTTTAATTCCCATGTCCAGGGAATATCCAAAGATCCCAAGATTTCTGTCAACCCCCATGGTTTTTCAATATCAGGGTCCACTCTGCTTTTCGCCCCTGTATCACTGATTCACACCTGCATATATGTGGACACAGAACTCACCAAGTATGAAAATGGTGCACTCTATCACACGTTTTATAATCCAAGTTGAATATTCTGCTAATTTTGAAGGGATGTTGATGGGGAAGAGGAAATCACATATTGGAGCCCAGATGGCATACCACCAACTCTGCATTCCTCTCTCTCTCTCCTCTCCCCCCTTGCTCCCTCCCTCCCCCTTCTTATTGACCCTGCTTATGAAGCAATAAAAATTATGTTTACCTGGTCTCTCTTCCTAAAGAATAGTTTCAACCCCACAAAACTCCTCAAGATGTCACAGTCCACCCCCAAGCATTTATTAAGGTTTTCTTCCAAACAATGCAGGTCCCTTTCAAGAATAATTCTGGTCCCCTTGTTAGTAGAGTGACATCCTTTTAGCTCCTTACAGAGTGATTTAAAATAGGAAGTTACAAGGTACAGTGGCTACCCTGTTGCTTTTCCTTTCCTCTGCCCCTTCAGTTCAGTTTCCCAAAGTAGCATTATAACACCTCTCCTTCACTGCTCTAAAGTCCAATATGGCTGCAAGTGGGCAGTTTTGTGTTCCCAGTGAAGAGACATCATGAAAAAAAAAAGAAAAAGGAAATTATAATTAACTAAAACTTTTGAATACTGAGTATGTGTCAGGAACTGTTACAAGTTATTTATATGTGTTATCTTATTTAAACTGGCTTAGAAAGTTTACATAACATGTTCAAGGTCACAGAACTATTAACTGATAGAATCTAGCTATCCAGATTTATCTTACTCTAAAGCCCTTGCTCCTAACCACCACAGCACAGTGCCACCATAGAACAGCTGTCCTGGACTTTAGTCATAGAGGGAGACATTTAGTAAAATATTGCCCACCGTTTCCTGCTTTCCTACAGGGGGGAGGAGAGGTAAATATAGAAATATGGAAGAGAGTACAGATTCTCAAAATAAGTTGAAAAATACCACAGAAGTTTCACCTTATAGGAGACAATTCAGGACCACTTATAGGTGAAACAGTGAGAAATCAAACTGGTTAACATGACTTGTGGTGGTTTTAAATGAAGCCAGCTAGACTGGACAGACTCTTTAATGAACTCTCCTCTCAAAAGTGGACAAAGCATCACACACCAACTTGTGCCTTTTGGATTTCAGTTTTTAAATGCGAATCTCCCTCCCACACACACATGCACATACCCCACACTCAAATATTATTCAACTAGTTTGTTTTGATTTAGTTTTCATTAGCCAGGTTTACGGGGGGCAGGAACGTGGGGAGAGCGAGGGTGGTGGGTATTGTACTTTAATCTGTGTAGCAAGAAAGATTCATTTTCATAACAGTTATCAATTTCTTTCTGTTACAGAGGTTCACCAGATAGAGATGGAATTGTAAGTATTTAAATGACCATTGTAGTGGGTTTGCACTTCAATATATGCTATGTTTAAATTTCTTAAGGCCCCATTTCTTTTTTTATTTTTTTCCTATAGGGAAAAAATAGCTTGAATGACTTTTTAGACCTGTCTCTGTTGTAATTTTCTATAGTAATTGCATGGGACATAAATGTAGTCTTGGTCAAGTTAGACTTATTTATTGCATTCACCTAAAACCCTACCCCAGAGTGGGCAAGTAAACCAGTCATCAAGATGGTGGGTCAAAAGCCAGACAGTTCATGCAGTGGCTGTTACCAACAACTACTATTTCGTTTCCAATTTAATGATGTAGAAGCTCATTATCCGAGAATGTTTTTCTGCAACAGAGACCACAAAGTCATAATGGAGCTGAGATCCAATAAAATTGAAAGAGTTTTTCTCCTTTAGTAGTTGTGCTGCAGATACATTTTTATATTAAATTCAAAAGTAGGGAATAGTCTTGAAACCACTTATGCCTGAATTTACAGCCTGAAGGAAGAAAACGTGTCCACTGGGTTTAGATTTAATAGTAACTTTAACTCCTTGCTGGCCACCAGATTTCTTGCTCTTTAGAGAAGTCTGTGTTGCACAGGCTTAGATTTATCCGAGTTGTGCTTATGCGAGTCTGCACCAACTTCTAAAATGACTTCCTTCAGATCTAAATCAGATGCCTATTCAGAAGGTTCAAAAGAACAGCTGTTATGAACAAAAAAAGAGGACTCACATTAGGATCATTAGGCTGGAGTGGGAACTAAAATAAACCTGGTGGTAAAAAAAAAATTTTTTTTTGAAAAATCACCCTTTATAATATTCGACCTAAATTGGGGAGTTAATTGCAACTGTGGAAGGAGTTTTTCTCCCACACTTGATTCAAGGTTCATAGCTTTGGGGTGCCTTTTGCATTCATGTGGTTCTTGCCATGAAATGTTAATAGACTGAAATTTATCAGACATTGGGTAGCACTATAATCAAGGCTCTATTCAGCAGGGGAAAAAAAAGACCCAGAAGACTCAGCTTCTCCTCACCTCTTGCTTCTGGCTCAGAGCCCTCTCGTTAACTCTGTCTCAGGTACTCTCTGCTTGTGTCTTTTCTCTGCTTCTGGCTTGGTCCCCTCCCTGAGTTCTCTTGTCCCTTCCACTTTGACCTTTGCAAGGTTCTGTTAACTATTCTGCTTTCTACCCTTGCTGCTCCCAGACTGGATTGCTATTTCCTGCTTCTGTCCCTCTGCCACTCTGTCTTGTCCTGTTGTTCTTTCTCCAAACTCCCCTGCTCAGTGTTTCTGAGGCACCATTGCTACCTCACTGTCCTCTGTCTCCTGCGGAGCAGTGCCTGGTACTGCAGCTGGAATAGCAGGAACTATGAGTGTGTGCTGCATTAACGAACCCTGCAGTCTTTCTGGGGATTCAGCCAGCCAAGGTCAGGGCGTCATGCCCCAGATTCCCTGAGTCCTCCTTTACTGCCACCATTCTAAGTCATATAAAGTTATTTGTTAGCAGTTGTACCCTCTTAATTAGAAGTGCCATAAATATCACTGGTCATGATTATTAGGAAAGAGGAATTATTTAATTCTGATTTCTCAGGAAATTTACACAGACCAGTTCTGAAAAAGACTACATCTGAAATAAATGCGTTTTATTTATAGGTAATATTGGAATAACTTTATAGGTAATTGGAAATTATTAGCCAGCTGCTAGTTTTATCATTTGGAAATGTTTCCCAAATTTTCCCCACTTACTACAGTCATCAGATTTTGAAAACCAGTGATCTGTTTGCATTCAGTCCTTACAGATCTCAACCTGATTTTCTTTCAAACACAGACTGATTTTTTTAAGGCTCTGTATCTGTGGACCCAGTCCACTTTTGCATGGTTGATACAGCTTCCAAGTTATTGCCTTTTGAATGCCAGAAGTTAAAATATATGGTTTTATTAATGTGGCTTTATAAACTACAGACAGTGTTATACCCACCTAGTGCTTATAAGCTACTTGATAAACACAGGGGCTACACAAAAGTTTTAATGTACTGAGGCTTATTTAGTTTCATTTTCTCAGAATCCACTGAAGCCCGTCTCTGGTGACATGCTTGAGAGGTTTAATCTGTAGAAGCTTCGTGGCAGGGCTGCATTATGCAGGTGGGCTTGCCTTGCCAAATGTACCCATCGCTGTAGGGCTGTTTGTCGTGGTTCAAGCATCTATGTGTGACAATGTGTTCTAACCCAGAGACAAACTAATTTGTGCGGCGTACAATTTAACTTTTTTTCTAAGCAGTTCTGATTTCTCTCCACACATACACTGGGCATCAGGGTCACGGGCCTTGCTGTAAGGAGGTATTTTCTGCTCATCCTGAACAGGTGTGCTGGAAAAGGCACATATTTGGAGCTGTCAGCTGTGTATGCTCCATGTATGGATGACCCTCAGGAAGGCTTTGATTCAGGGGAAAATATGGTGGAACTAAACTTTTCATTCTTAGATTAGAACTACAACCGTTCTTATTCAGACTTTTCTTGTGTGTCCTGGTGTCCGTTCTCTACTTGTAAATTAAGTGCTGGCTGAATGAGGACTAGATCTGCATAGTGCCAAGTGCCTGGGACGCGTCTTCCTCTGTCTTCCTTCTCCTGGCCTAGACAAACTGGCCTGCTGAATAGAGCCTCATTATGGGCCCCAAAGTCCACTTTTTGCTCAAGGAACCCTGCCAAGATTGGTAGGCCATACAATTTGGCCTAGAAATGGTTTCTTCTGTGGTATGTTTGCTGATTCCATTTGATTCTTTATATGTGTCTTGAAGAACAAACAGATCCTTTAACAACTTTTTTCTACATGAAAATAATCAATTTCAGCAGCCCAGCCCACATGAACCACCCTACAATAACAAAGCAGAGTGTGCGCGTGAAGGAGGAAAAAAAGTTTCGGTAAGGAAACAGATTTTAGTTTAAAACTTCCAAGGGGTTGTAGAAACAGTGAGTAAAATTCCAGTTTAAAATTTGAAAAACACAATAATTTTTATTTACTACATTTAAGAAGATTCTTTCTTAGATATTTCCCAATTACTTCTTGAATACCTGGGGCCAATTTTTAAATCGACCATAGAGACTTTATGTGTTAGTATCCAAATATACTTTTAAAGAGTGATCAGGCATAAAAGACATGTGCTTTGTTTGTCTTAGACAAAGGACAGATATTTTAATTTTAAAAAATAATCTGCTATCTAAAAAGAGGGCTTTGGATGTAATATAAACATCACCATGCAAATTGAATAATCATTTGTTAGGATAAGCACTATCTCAATAATTTCAGGAATTTGGCAGGACCTTGGTCTGTAGGAACCAGTGACTTGACGAAAGGTTGCCAACTCAGGGATGCTGATCCCAGCCTAGACTATGCAATAAATATAGCTGTGTTTTCCAATATGGTAGCCAAATATGGCTGTTTAATTGAAATTCAGTTCCTCAGTTGCACTTGCCACATTTCATGTACTTCATAGCCACTCGTGGTTACCATATTGAATAGCACACAGAACATTTCCATCTTCACAATTCTATTCAACAAGCTGTTCAGTATGATTATTTACAAAGAGAATCGAGTCTATGTTGGTGGAGAAAAGATAATATTTAGGCACTACATCATGTATTTTTAACAGTTTTCACCCAAGGATCACTACGTGGCCATTAGATGACCTTGGAAAAGAGAGGCATTCACAATGGAAATTGGAAACTCTGATGAGTGTATAATTGAACAAAATTGTTACTATATTTATTGATTTAGCCAATCATATTACTGAGAAAAAATAATAGGACTAACCAAAGTAAAATACCTATTAAAACAAGATTAACATCACTGTAAGCCTCAATTATCTTTAAATAACAATCATATATTCCAGTTATGCAAGTCACTTATACTAAGGGTAAAATTTTAGAAAATACAGAAAAGGATGAAGTAAAAAAATATAAAACTCCAACTCAAAAGGAAAAGTACTGTTTATATGTTGATAAATAACTACTGTCATTTTCACTGTTAAGCCTAGTTTTTTACATGTTGTTTCCCCACTTCTGTTCTTCGCTTCTTCAGTTTCCCATTTAAAAATCAATAGAGTCATTACCTTCACTATTGCCGCTACTAAGAGCTGCACCTTGCTCAATGGTTAAACCACGAGAATTGTTTTTTTCTTGGGGTTTGGCCAGATGAATTTCCTCCAGGCTCTGACCTAACTTTAACTTGATAATTTTCACTTGTGAAACCAAAGTTGTTTGTAAGAATCCACTGGCACGAAAGAGACCAAACTGCCCGTTTCTCTAATAAAGCCAAGTGTGTGTGTGTGTGCGTGTTGAATACCTGCCAAAAATAATGTATTGTTATGATTTGTTGTTTGTGTTTAGTATTTGTTTTTGAAATGTTTCTGTTTTAAAAGAAAAACATTTTATAGGTTTTTCTTCCCCTTCATCTTAATCTTCCTTTGGTTTCCATGAAAACTAGAAAATTTTCATTTAGTCCAGATCTAAAAATTTAGGAACTTTTTTGTCCACAATGTTGGATATATGTTGTCAGGAAAGCTGAACATAATAAGCGATCTTGGTTTTGAAGGGCTTTAGCTATGTGGATGAGATTATCATGAAAGCACATTGTAGAACTTTGAAAAGTTTGAACTCAGTAATTTACCTAATCTCTTTGATTTTTAGATCATAATCCTCTGTATCAAGGAATTATTTAAGAACTAAAAGGTATATTGATAGCAGTACTATACTGATCATAAAATTCATGAATTTACTTCTTTAGAATCAACTTAGTTTATTTGATTTCTTATTATTATACATTAAATTTCTATATTGAACTTGTTTGTTATATAGGCTCTCTAAGGAGGAGTTGGAGCATTTTGTAAAGAAGCCATTTACAAACAGATTGGTAAAGCAGGAATTAAAAAAGAAATAAAATATGATAAAAAGATAATAACCATATCCGTTCCCAGGGAAGGGAGCAATTTTTATTATTAAGTGGCACATTCTTTAATTGACCATTTTCTCAACAGCAGCTTCATAAGGTGTACGTATGCAGAGTTGATGTGGCAAGTTTTTAAAAAGACCTTTGTTCAAAATAGAGGGAATATCACTGAAGCACTAATTCAGTGAAGGCAATTTTATGCGAAGATTAAAATGATGGAGTCTGAGTACAAATAATCTTTGTCAAGAGCAGAAATGGAGACAGGCACAGGCTCTATGTTCCCGTGTGTTGGTCTATGGAGGCAAAGTTCTTGTAATCGTAAATACTAGTTCAGTGGTAGTGATTAGGAAGAGAGAGGGCATGAGTACATCGTCTACTCTTTGCCTACTGTTTATTCTTGCTAAACTGATGCTAGTTCTTAGAATGCCCAGTCAACATTCAGTAAGTGTTAATTAATGATGATGGTTATTCTGGGTTATCTAGTGACCCTACATGCATACATAAAAACTTTACTTCTCCACTTTGGGTGTAAGCTGTTTACATTGTAATTCAAGCAGCCTTTATTTGTGATCACAACATTAAAGGTCCTGTCCTGAAGCCTCGTGCATTACCATTTACTATGTGTTGTTCCAAAATCTGCTGTTGCTCAGTGACATACCATTGCTTAATGTGCTAAATACAGGAGTGTTGTTGGATGGACCCTCCATTACCAATCTGATGTGTGTTTTTGTCCTTTGCTCACAAAAAGTAGAGAATCTTGGTAATTTCTATTTCAGTAATGCTACATCCTTGCTCAAGTGCTTGTGACCATATGTCATGATTATACTAGGGACCAAAAAAAACTTTGAGATAATCAAGACAGTAATGCTGGTAAGCAGTCAATTTGTAATGATATATGCTCATGGAAACATAGAATACACGGATGACAGAAAGCCACCATTATTCTTTGAGTTCTATTTTAATAATTTGATAAGAAAAGCCATTTGAAATTAATATAGTCATTGCATTTAATAACTAGGAGCTGAATTTACTAATTTGGAGCTGACTTCCTTTATATTTTATTGAAGGTGTGGCTAGAAAAAAATTGAGTCAGTGTTAGAAATGCTAAAAGATTAGTTAATGACCTGGATGAGTACTCTTTGGATATGTTGGAACTAACTGTATAGCAGCATGGAAGTCAAAACGTTTCCATTTTTAAAAATTATGTGTATATATATATATATATATTCATATATAGTTATATCCCTTGAAGGTAGAGAGGATTAAATTATAATGTAGTTGCTGTGAATTCTTTAGTAATTGAATAAAATTTGAACAGGTAGTTGTTAATATCCCTATGCCTAGGTATCTTACAATCTTTTATGAAATAAGTACGTAGGCTCTTTTATGCAGTGTCACGGCAGCTAAATTTATCATTCAGTTGCATCAATGGGGTTCCTTAATAAGCTGCTCTAATTTGCATTTCAAGTGCTGAATTTTGATAGCTCTTGCTAAATACAGATGAGTTAAGTGTTCTTTGTTGTTGTTTTTTTCATTCAAATGTTTCCTTTCTAAATCTATTTTCAAATTTATTACAGAAGAAAAGCAATGGGGCACCAAATGGATTTTATGCAGAAATTGACTGGGAAAGATATGTGAGTATTAGAAGATTGTTTTTCTTTATTAAGTATTTCACAATCTAAAAATGAGGTGAGGCATTTTTATACTTGTATTTATAATAGGACATAGAAATAAGTGAAACACTCTCTATCCCATTAGGAAGTGCCTGTCATGTTTGGGGTGGTATAGAGGTTAAGAGCACTAGAGTCTGTCAGGGCTGGGTTTAAGACCTAGCCCCTCCATACAGCAGCTGTGTGTGGCCTTGGGCTAGTTACTTGCTGGCCAGCAAAAATAAGCTCAGTAGTTGCCTTATATCATTGTTGCAAGGATTCAATGAGACAATTATTTCAGAATATTTCAATAACCTGCCTAGCCTAGAGTATATGTTCAAAAAATGCTTTTTCTAATATTAACTCTGGTTGTTTTAGCCCTGATTCTATTTCTAAGCAGCTTTGAGAATCAAGGCAAATCAATTAACCTCTGAGCCTTGCTTTCATAACAGCTACTATAGCCTCACGGTACAGTTTTTTTCCAGGTCAAATGACAATCACTTGTTGCTTCTCAGGGAGTGAAGGTGTATGCCAGCTGAGACCGAAACTTTACTCTTAATTCTCTCAGAAACTGATTAGCATTATCACCACACACTTCACCAACCACAACAGAACAGCCTGTTAGATTCAGCCAGGATTGCTCTTGGATTTCTAATCATATAGACATGCAGGCCGTATTTGCACAGAAGGCTGTTTCTATTCCATAGTAAGTGCCCAAATTTATGATCCCTACAAAATGCCTTTGCTCTTATTCTTTAGGTGACTGTCCTGGCCCAACCTCCACTTTCATAAAAGTTAAGTTTCATGTTAAAGCTTTTGCATATTTGCTAATAATTTTATTTTTATGATAAATGATACTATCACTTAGTGAATACTCTCTGTTTGTCAGTTATAATGTTAAATGCTATTAAATCCTTATCACTTTAATAGGTAAATACTACATTATCTGGATTTTAGAGAAAAATGAGGCTCAGACAGGTTAAATTCTTCATGCTTTCCACCCCTACACTCCAAAACATATCACTCATCCAACTTATTACCTGGCCCTCTCTTACATCTGCTTTCCAGGATTGAGATCCTTTTGATATTTTTAGCAGTTCAATTCCCTAGAAAGTATGACAACCCCTATGTTACCCTAAATCCAAATTGTTCACAAATATTGTTATAAGGGAAGCTACTAGATATTAAAAAAGAGTGATTTTTCCCAAAATTAATTCTTTTTTTACCTAGAAAGAGTCTGTTATATTCATAGGATTCTTTAACACACAAGAATGGTATACTCTAAGCAAACAAGAAGTGTGATAATTAGGGCCTGCCCCGTGGCTCACTCAGGAGAGTGCAGCGCTGGTAGCGCCGAGGCCGCGGGTTCAGATCTTATATAGGGATGGCCAGTGCACTCACTGGCTAAGCGTGGTGCAGACCACACTGTGCCGGGGGTTGCGATCCCCTTACACCAAATTACTCATCAAATACTACTACATACTACCTTCCATCTAGCACACGAACCCTAAAATCTAGTGGTGTCCCTCGTCAACACATGAGTACTTAAATGAAGTATAACTTCCCACAAGTTTGTTTAGTATTAAGAACTAATCATATCAGGAATTGCTGGATGATTATGCATTAGATGCCACTTTCTCTAAGTAATAAGAAGGAATCTGTTCTTAATAAGTTATATCATCCTAGTTGTGGCAGGGAAGGCCTCAGGGAGGAGATGACCTTTAAGCAAAGGCCTGTAATTGTAAGTAGAGGTTAACTGGCTGAACATTTAAGGGAAGAGGATTCAGGCAGAGGGAACGGCATTTATGAATGGGAAGAAGAATGTGGGGCTAAGTGGGGATCAAGGGAAGAGAATCGCAGACATGAGACTAAAGAGAGGAGCAGGAGCCAGATCATCGGGGCCCTGGTGGCTACACAGAGGTGCGGGGCTCTTGTTCTAAGGGAAGTGAGAAGCCAGGACAGGGTGTTTTTTGTTGTTGTTGTTGTTGTTGTTTTTTTGCAGGGAAGTGACCTCAATACACTTGCATTAAAAAAAAAAAAAAATTAACTCTGAGTACTAAAGGAGGAGGAAAAGAGGGCAACCACAATAAATACTCAAAAATCGGTGGCCTTCAGACACAGAGAGAAAAATACTGTATAATCTCACTTATACGCAGAATCTAAAAAAAAGAAAAAGTCAAATAAATAGAATCAGCAGAACAGTAGTTACTAGGGGCAGAAAGGGAAGAAACCGAAAAAGGAGGTCAAAGGTACAAATTTGCAATGAGGTGGGATGAATAAGCCTAGCTATCTAGTACACAGCATGTGGACTATAGTTAAGAATATTGTATTGTATAATGAAAATTTGCTAAGAGAGTAGATTTTGGTGCTCTTACCACACACACGGACACAAAAGTGTAACTATGGAAGGTGATAGAAATGTAAATTTGGTTGTGATGATCATTTCATAATCATATATATATATCAAAATATCAAGTTGTACACCTTAAATATATCAAAAAATAAATTTTTTTAATAAAGGCTGGTTTTTTCGTAGCATTCAGGCCCTCGTCTTCATGGTCATGGCATTTTTATTGCGTCAATGACTCGCAAAACTATCTCTCCAACTCTGTCCTCTCACTGCCAGGACTATGGCCTCAACTTCAGCAGGGCCACCTTTGTATTCTTCCTCTTCTTCCCCTCTAGGCAGAAGATATAGTCTCAAAATGCCTGGGGTCAAGGCCCAGGTCTGCCATTTGCTGGGTGTGATTCCTTGAGAAACAGCATCTGATTTCCTCTAGTTTCTTCCTTGGTAAATGGGTATTTCTTTCTACATATGATTGTTATATGGTTCAGTGAGATAAAGTATAGGTCATAATTTTATATAATAGAAACTCAAATATGACAATGCTAATCTCAGCAATGCAAACTGCCTTTTATCTTTCCTGCTTTTTCTCAAAAATGTTAGTTGTCTGCTATAGAATTAGTTCAGCCTGGAGTACCAGCACACTCCTGGTATTTGAGGATAGAAATCTCGGACTCTTGAACCCTCTCTCTCCTTTTTCTCCTATGACGAGTCTGGTACCAAGGACTAACGATTGGTCCTTTCAAATGTCCTCGATTCATCCCATCCCACCACCACCAACTTGATCCATAGTCTTAGCACATCTTGCCTAAATTGATGAGTGCATTTTGAATTAGGTTTTCTTTCTCCAGTTTCTTCTGCCCCCAATCTATCCTGGCACATACTTCCAGAACACTCTAAGATTCTGCTTTCAGCATGTCCCTCCCCACTTGGGAAGCTGCAGCAGCCCTATCAAGCCCAAACCCTTCCCCTAGCACATTGGCACGATGGTCTTATTTCCCACCCTCCTGCTGTACAGCTCCTTTTCCAGTCACGTCATCTCTTTTTGTCACCTCTCCCTTCCCCATCTGAATCCTAGGCTGTCCATTCCTGCCTTGTCTCAGCACAGGCCCTTCCTTCCCCACCACCTAGAAGGGACTCCCATCCCACCTTCTCCTATCTGCACTGAAAAGCCCATACAGGCCTCCCTGATTTTCTCAAACTTCACTAATTTCCTCTTTCTTTTAACTCCTATCTAACACTAGGGTTTTATATTTTGTGTGTGTGTGTCTTATTTATTTTTGCCTACCAAAATACATTTTCATGTCCCTGAGGATAAGTAATTTGCATTTTGTTTCCCCCATGTTGCTTAACACAGTGCTTGGCTTACAGGAAATGCATGATAAATTCTCCTTGAATGCTTTCTTTCATTGACAGTTGATTCTTCATTTATTTTCCCAGTAGGAGACTCTCCAAGTGTCCCCGAGTAAATATCTAAACATATACTGCTCAGCACTCACTTCCAAAAGATAAAAATCTTAGCCTCCTAAAATAAGAGACTTGTCTATATCTTTAAAAAGATGACTGTAGAAGGAAAATGAGTAATTCTTTGGTCATCATCCAATAATAATTGCTTAATGTGCATTCGTATTTTATAGAACTCACCTGAGCTGGATGAAGAAGGCTACAGCATCAGACCTGAGGAACCGGGCTATATCCTTTTTTTTATTTTTTATTTTAATTTTTAGTCTTTCAGGAAACAGTAAGGTAAATTCAGGTTTTACAAAGATGATGAAATAACCTAAGCTTCCCAAGTCCTGTTATTCCTAATATTAGAGATGAATAAACACCCGTAATGGCTGAGCCTCTATGATTGAGTCTAGAGAGACCACAGCATAGCCTGCATAATGTTCGTAGTCAATTCTGAATGAGGATCCATCAGTGAACCATGTGAAGTCGGCCTTGGGTAGGGGCCCCTAGGAGATACAGGAGTGACAAGGAATAAAATTTTTTTTTTTTTTTTTTTTTTTTTTTTATCCATTCATGGAAAAGAGAGAGGAGACAGAGAAAAATGTGCTGAAAAACACTTGTGCAAATTGTGGGTACTGGGTTGTCTGTTAAAACCTGATATGACTACATGACTGGTGACTACCAAATAGCTCTTACTGTCTTCTCCCTGTAATTCATCTCTGGGCACAACATGTCACACTCAAGTGCTTAAGATTCATCACAGATCATCCATAAAGTAGCATTCCTTTTTCTGTAGATGAGTAAACTCACCTGTGCTTGTCTGTGTGTGTACCAAGTGTGACATGGCTCCTTGAAATTTACCATCCTTGATCATGTTCTGAGGAAAGGTGTGTAAATCCTAACCCCTTCCTCTTTTATTTTTGTTGTTGGTTTTGCTTTGGTTTTCTGCCATCTAAGGATACTTCTGCGGTCCCTATGTGCAATCATACTTGTGTCGTAGTCATCATATGCTCACCATGCTGGAAGATATCACAGTAGAAGAAAGAGCTATGTATCTTTAACTGTGTTCTACCTACCAAAGGAAAGCACTTTTATTCATCGAGTGAATCGGAAGAGGAAGAAGAATCACACAAGAAATTTAATATCAAAATTAAACCATTGCAATCTAAAGACATTCTTAAGAACGCTGCAACTGTAGATGAACTGAAGGCATCAGTAGGCAACATCGCGCTTTCCCCATCACCAGTGGTGAGTGGCTTATGTTCACCTTCCGTGAGAATGGACAGAGTGCTGCATTCTGCCCAAGCGTATTAAGTCGATCAGGAACCCCTTAAATTGAAAGCTGCATGTGGTCACCATTTTATGAACGCTATAAACCTTAAACAGCTCATTTTAGCTTAAAGTTTCATGCATTTTATAGAGCAGTTCTTGTGCTTTTCAAAATGGTAAACATGCATGGAGCCTCATTTTCTTTTGACTTATTTGCCTGCAAACATTATAAAAAGAAAGAAAAATAAATAACCAAAGGATTATCCAGTCTTACTTTTGAAGGAAACTTAGTGATTAAAAACATAGTGCACAGAATTACTTACAGTGATTTTTTTTTAAAACATCTTAGTTTCCTTTTCTATGATATACCACATAAAAACACGTGGAAGAAAAACCAAGGAAATTGCTTTTTTAGAAAGAAAAACAAACAAAAAAAACCCCCCACTTTTCATTGCTATGCTCCAAAAGGTAATATTAATCAAAATCATAGTCTAAATAGATATTAAAACTCTGGTTCTTCATTATATTTTATTGTAAAATTGTCTTAAATGCTCTCATTTTTAAGGCACCCATTACAGATATTACCCTATTTATATTATTCAAATCAGTATTTTCCCATAAGTTGTGCTTCCTTTGTCCAATTCCCATCTACTAAATTTATTTAGTTGTTGAATTCTGAGTTCCAACATTTACAGTATTTTCTCTGTGTTGTTTGATAAATACCACTATTGTTTTCTAAAAATAGCTATGAAGAGCAGAAGAAGGCTCTCAAACTAGCAGCTTATGTTTCGGGTTTCTTCTTTAGAGAGATATGATCTCTCTACAGCATCCCCCCTGAACAAGGTAGTTAATAAATACTGAACCGTTTTCTAGATGCTTCTGGAAATATTTCAACTAATCTTTCAGCAGGAGTTGTAATCGTCCATCCTCTGAGAATAAAGTTTTGCCTGCCTGGGATGAATAAATTCTACAATGATGGCTTCGTTAGTGCTTAGTGGTTATAATGGCCTTTATTGCTACTGTTGGTGACAATTAAAATGATTGCTAATAGTAACCAGCCATAGCAAATGATATTTCAGGTAGTTTTAAATCATATACTCACCTGCGACCTTAAGATGTCTTCCTGAAAGGGAGGCATAAAATGTATTAGTTTTCTTTCCCTTCTGCATTGGAAGGTACAGATTTTAAACTCACATATTGGCCTGTGATTTCTAGAAATGGGGGTATTTTAAATGCACGCACTTTCACTTCATTGACATCTTCCAAATAATTTTTCACTTACCAATTCATTTTTTTTACTGTAAAAATCTATCTGAATGCCCAAAACCAGTTTATGTCAACATCTCTGTAGTTTATTCTATCCGCTTTTGTAGGTTTATTTTCTGTGTAATAAACTTAGTGGGCAGTTGGAAACTACCTGGGGTAAGTGAAAGAAGGCATGTTCATGGGATTAAATGAACAAATTTATGTAAAATCAAACTTACTAGAACAGTCCCAGAAACACAGGAGATATTTGCTGAAAGCTAGTTGAATTCAGGAAAGGACAAATCCCCTTTATCAAAAAAATGTGCATGGTGGATATTCCTCCAGCCAGATATGTTGCTGAGGGCATAGCAAGAAAAGTGACTGTTTACTCTGAGCTCTTTTCAACATCTGTTTTTAAGGTAATATAATGACATGATGCAGTTAAGACTCTGATATAAAAAGAAAAGTTAGAGGAAGCAGAGTGAATATTCGATGGAGATACAGAAAAAGTAACCTGGGGTTATGCTGCTTCTGTATACCAGCAATGCTTCAGACCAAGGGCCCCCCACTCCTCCTCCCACCCACCCCCACACCCCCAGTTTGTTCCCTTTAATGTGAAAACCTGGCTTTTCCATTACTATGACTTCCAAATATTTGTAACTTGTAATATTTATTACAGGACAATGAACTGTTATTACTACTTTAGGGAAAGTTGAGCAGGTTTCTGGGTATACATAAGTACAAAGAGAGGTCGTCATTGAAAACATATTTTTGGCTTTACAATCTTTGCCTTCTTCTAGGTAACCTATGTGTATATATATCTCATAAATGACACATGCAGTACTTTATTTCCAGAAATGGATAAGTAGAAATAACCTCCTGAAATCCAGTTGGTGCCAAGATAAAAAATGGCAATGATTTGTACTACTTTAGATATTTCCAGCTAAACAGACATTTATATTTTCTTCAGGTAGTGAAAAAGAATAGAGCCTCCACCAGTTAATGCTAAATCAGGGTATTTCATTTAGGCTGTAGTTCTTATGCTACAAAAGCAACTGAAAATTCCAAATTATAAACTCTTTCTAACAATGGCTTACGTTGGATTTCTGATTTCTATTGCTTTTGAAGTTTTTAAGGTAAAGTTGTGCTTCACATATTCTTTTCACCCATCTGTAAATATATATTCATGAAATGTAATCAATTTGATCTCTTTTATCAGGAATTGGTTTTATTTTAATTGAATAGTTTGCCTGTACACACTAGGTGGTCAAATTAATAAATGGATGAAATGAACTGGAATGAATAAATGAATCATATATATCTATGTATACATACAAGATACACCTATCTGAAAATTGCTCTTCCTCAAAACAAACTTCAGCAACATGTAAAATTAGGGTTTTAATTGCTGGCAAAAATCCTACTGTATAGTTAGACAAACATATTTCAGTCCAGATCTTGCCGTGGCCCTTGATTTTTATATAGAAAGACAATATAAATGTAGGCCAGGACACGGCAAAACACCAAAAAAGGAAGAGGAATGATGCAGGGGTTAACTAACAGATAAACAGTTAATAGATAAATAGTTAACAGATAGTTAATTTCTATTCTCATGCTGTAGTCTCTTGATAAGATACCATGCTCACAGGGCAAAAAGTGAACATCAACCAGGTTTTAGTTTTTCATTTGGCATCTATATAAGTTGGAATATTGGTTGAGCTGCTTTAACAAAGACCAAAATATTAATGGCTTAAACAAATTAGGTGGTTTATTCCTCTCCATGTAAAAGTCAAAGCTGATAGGCAGTCCAGTGGATAATAGAATCCTACCCCAGGGGTCACTCAGGAACTCAGGAACTTTCAGCATTATTGCTTCACCTTTCCCAGGGTGCTGCTGTCTTACCACCAGCAAGCACCTTCATATTCCAGCCTTGAGATGGAGGAAGGAGAAAAGGAAGGGCAAGTGGTTTCCTTTAAGGATTTGACTCAAATCGCACACATCAATAGTACCACCACTTTGATCCCATTGGCCATAACTTGGTCACATGGCCACATTAGCTGCAAAGGAGTCTAGGAAAGGTAGTCTTTTGCTGGATAGATATGTAGCCAGCTAAAACTCAGGGTTCTGTTATTAAGAAACAAAAGAACAAATGACCATTAGTGAACACTGGCAGTTTCTGCCACCGTATCTTAAATAATCTCAGATTATTTCAGGGAGTTCATTAAGAAATGGGATTTTTTTTCAATTTGTCTTGAAAATTATTCCCAGAACATACTGAAGCCAGGATTTTCCCTTTTAAAAATCTCTAATTACTAATTTCTGAATACAAGTGATGCTGTGATATATGTTAGCTAATAGCAGGATAAACAGAAACAAATATCAGTAAAATATCAACTTGTTTGGTTGATAGATGCCCCTACAACAATAAAAATGCTCCCTCTATCTTATAAAGTTCACTACTTTTTGAGGCAGTCTGCTTCATTGTTGAAAGAAAGATCTTCGTTTTATTAAATCAAATGTTCAACTTTTGTCCTTGATTGTAGTTTTGCTCTTTAGAGGATGAACAAAGGACAAGTACCCTCCTTTTGCCAGCAGGTTTTCCATGAATCAGACTGACTTGAACTCCAAGTTTAGAGTGCAGGGTATTTATTAAGGAGTGACCTTGGGCTTACCACCTGTGGGGTGGGGTGGGAAGAGAGAGAAGTTGAGCTGTTTTACACACCCGACAACAGCCTGCACTGATCCCAGGGGAATTCTGGAGCTAGAATGATTCTTCAGAGTTATCATGAGGTTGGCTGAGATGAATAATCTTTATACTGCTATATCAATCAGTACTCCAATGTGGGCCACATTAGGATGAGATGTGACCTTGGGCGAGGCGGCTCTCTGCAGCCAGGGCAGATCCTGGGATGTTGACAGTTGAAGGCTATCTGCCAATAGCACTCCCAGCTGCTGGCATAAGAAACCCTTCTGAAGGGGAATCTTCACAGCACATTTTCGTTCCACCACAACTTCCCTGTACCTGACATAGGACCTCATATATCATTGCCATTCAATATATGCTTGTGAGTGGGAGAGTGAGTGAACAAACATGTGGACAGGACCTGGCCAAGGACAGAGCACTGTGGCATGTCACCACTCTCCAGCTTTACACCCACCCATTAATAACACACCTCAGCCTTCTTTTGCTCAACATGTGATGATTCACCTAAATGTGTCCTCATCCTGGCCACATATTTCCCCTTTGTTCAAACCAGTGATGGGAGCCTTATAAAATGCAACACTAAATTTGAGAGAGGAAGTTTCTACAGCCTTGCCTGGATCTAACAGACCAGAAACCCTGTCAGAGACAATGATGGGTTTAGTTGCCCTATCTCTTTGCACTGGCACCTTGGGTTACCTCCTTCTTTTCCAAGTGCATTCTGGGCCATCTGTTTAAATAACTTGTTCTAAATTTGGAGTTAATAGGAGGCAGCTGTGGGTCGGCCCTGTGGCTCACTTGGGAGAGTGCGGTGCTGGTAGCGCCGAGGCCACGGGTTCGGATCCTATATAGGGATGGCCGGTGCGCTCACTGGCTGAGCGTGGTGCAGACAACACTGTGCTGAGGGTTGCGATCCCCTTACCAGTCTGGAAAAAAAACAGGAAAAAAAAAAGAGGCAACTGTATAGTAACAGCGAGTACACAGCCCCCATGGACTCAAACAGTCCTGGACCCCAGGCCCAGATCTACCAAGT